TTTTCACTCTCTCCAATGTTTAAAAGAGGAAATAGGAAAGACCTAGCCTGTTAATGATCAGTAGCATGACTTCCATATTGTTGAAAGTGATGGAAGGACTGGTAAATGAACTAATGAGAGAGTTCATGGATTAAAACAACATCCTCAGTGAAGCCTAACACGGGGTTTAAGGAAGACGGGCGGTGCGCATCTAATCTTCTTACGTCACATGACAATTGGACAGCCCGCACGGACCGAAATCTAGCGTTCTATATGATATTTCTTGAATTTGCAAACGCCTTCGAAACACCAGTACATGTACCCGTGTTAGGTGATGCTTCGAAAATTGGCTTCTCTGATCTATTTCTCTCTTCGCGTTGAAACTACCCGGAGAGCAGAAAGTTCTGTGCCAAGGTGAATACAGTGCATACAAGCTGGTAAGTCCCGAAACTAGGAGATTCATTGGGGTCCGTCTCGGTTCCACGCATTTTCCTGATACTTTATAATCACTTGTTGGATAAGGTCAGCTCAGTGGTATTAATTTATGAAGATGAATCAAAGATGTTCAGGTCCATGAGAAGTGGTTAGGACTCATTTGAACTAAAAAGTGAACTCACGACAGTAGAATAATGGGCAGTGGATATCGAGTCACAACCTGACCTGTTGACATGTCATGTCACGATCACTCTGCCACATGCGACACTAACACCTTTGGCTCCCCAATGTCTCCTCAGGGCGCTATCTTGGTCTAAACACGGTAGAGAGCCTAAACACCAGCTCACACTACATAGAGGAGACAGTTAAGACTTACATAACTCTTCACCTTATGCGAAGATAACTTGATACAATTACCCCACAATTGTTCTTAACTCTCTTCAAAACGTATGCACCTCCGTACCTTGAAATTTGCAATTTCGGCGCACTCTCTTCTTAAAAGAGACATAGACGTCCTGAACAGAGTGCAGAGAATAACAACTGAAAGGGTTGAAGAATAAATCTTACGGAGACAGAATCTGAAACTCGGAATATTTCCCCCTGAGTTCAAGGAGTTCAGAAGTTATCTAGTAATAGCATTAAACTCATCACGTACGCCAATTCTTGTGGTGGTGTTTCGTTCTCTGAGCTGATTGTTTTGGTTGTGAAGCGTTCATTGTTCTTCTGAACAACATCATCAGCACAAACTTCAGGTAGAAGTGAAGCATTCGAATTTCTCCACGTTTGACCTGTAGTTTTTTCTGCTAACCTCGATCTTGATTGGTTGCTGTTGACCTTTGACCTGTCGCTGTTTGCAACTTTGTTTTGATTGTATCCCCCTTTTGATCTGTTTCTTGATCCTGTGTCACCTATGATTTTCTTGATTGGTTGATAAATTGGGTCAATGTCGATGTGTTTATTGATTGCTGATTGACCTGAGTGCCAAGCTTCTAAAAATTCCCTAGTGTTCTATGTCCTCCCCCTACCCAGTATTTCCACATTGTTCTAATCAAATGTGTGTCCATAATTGTCGGTGTGTATTGATATAAGCGAAGCGTTGTCGTGGCGTTTGACTGCTAATTGATGTTCAAGTAAACGAAGCTGAAGAGACCGTCCACTTTGTCCTATGTGTAGTGTTTTTCACAGTTTGAGCAATTTATTTTGTAGATGATATTTGGTTTTTCTTCCGTTGTCATTTTGTCCTTTGGTCTACATAGGATTGATCGAAGTGATTCTGTTGGTTTGTGTGCCACACCTATTCCAAATGGTTTCAGTAGTCATGCTGTATGCTCAGATATGTCTTTGTTGTATGGCAGGATGATGCGTTAATTTGTTCCTGTGCTTGATTTCGCTTCTGATGATGGTTTCGGTTGATGTTTTCTTATGAAGTTGCGTGAATAGTCGTTCTTTTAGGAGATAGTCATCAGGTGTTTTTCCTCGTTTTTTCATGCTTCGTATGTGCTGCAGTGTGTCTTTGCTCTCTTGAACAAAGTTTGTATACAGTTATTCTTGTAGGTTCTTCGGTTGTTGCTGTCGTAGTTTAGAATTACGTCGATGGAAAAGGAATCAAAAGACAGCCTATCATTCCTGGATGTACTAATCACCAGAACTAACACAGGAAACCTAGAAACGCAAGTATTTCATAAGTCTCAAGTTACGAGAATTAGTGCAGTCAGGTGGCTGGATTATCACTCATTGGACACTGTCTGATAGCTGGAACTGTAGTGAAAGACCCAAGAACCGAACGCAAAGAAATCGGTTCCTTAATACCGAAGTTCCACTCCAAGAATCTCCTGCCTCACACGACCCAAACAATCTATACCCTCAATGGAAGTCCGCTCCCTAATGTCTCCTCAGAGCGCGATCTCGGTTTAATATCCACCGAAAGCCTCCACACACTATGTAGGAGACGCAGCGAAGGCAAATGAGACCCTTCACTTTATGCAAAGACAACTCGGTGCTATCACCCCGCAATTATTTTTGACACTATTTAAGACGTACGCGTGCCCACACCCGGAGGTTCACAATGTCATCGCACCCCGTCTGCTTAAAAGAGACACAAATCTCTTGGATCGAGTGCAGAGACGAGCAACCGTATGGGTGATATGGTAGAAAAACAAGCCTTACGAAGATGGACTCCAGCACTTGGTATTATTTCCACTGAGCTACAGGAGAATCAGAGGTGATCTGACTATGGCGTACAACATATTAAGCATGCCAAACCATCCCAACGTGAGCATCTTACGGATGCATCACCACCACTCCCCTTGAGGAAATCCTCGAAAGATTGCATATCAAAGAGCGAATACTCAGATACGTGCACACTTTTTCTCATTGCGAGTCGTCGCAACTTGGGATGCTCTCCCAGCCGAGGTGACCACAGCCCCCTCAGTGGACAGCTTTAAGAAGAGACTTGATAATCATGTACTCACATACGGTTTATCATCTCCCTCTTGAACAAGCTGTTCATGATGCATATCTTGAGACCTGCTAGTTGTTATCGTTGCCATATCCTCAGATCACTCAATCAATCTATATCGCCTCTCATCTCTGTTCCCTCCCCCTTGCTTACACGACGGTCCTCTCTCACAATCTTCACTACCAATTAATAAACTAAATCATCTATATATTACTCAATTCTGAAATTTAATCCATATTAGCATTAGAATTTTATCCCTAGTGTCTTCCAAATTGCAACTAACTGATCTCCGGTCTGGTAATGTGATAGCTGCTGGTATCCAGAAACCCTACTGCCCTGAAACAAACGTTTCCATTCAAATCACGGGACATACAAACTCACAACCAACTAATAACTGACCAGAATTAGACAATCAAGTGGCTAGACCTCCTCCATTGGACAATACCGTACACCTGGAACCGTACATAAAGAACAAGAATCGAGCGCAAAGAAATTAATTGGTTTACACTAGCTCGTGAAAAAGATATTGGATATTGGATTGTACTGCAACTGAAATGCGCAGAGTACCAATATATGCGTTGCAACCTGCCCAATCGAAGCATCAAGCGGGCGTATGTTTCCAATGAGTTTGATTGGTTAAATAATAATTCATGAACGGTCTGTGAGCGATTCATTATTGATTTTAACAAAATTCATCCACTAACTAGTGTCAAAAGAGGATTGTATGTCTGTGTGAGGAATTCGGATGACACGTTAGAGGTTTGAAGTGAGAAGCAAAGACAGGGTTTTCATCACAAACTAGCATCAGCTGTAAAACCGAAGTATTGCGTAATTGCAAGATAGATGAATTCTTACTTGAAATCGTGTTTCGCTGTGATAAGGGCCACTGCCCTAATTATAAGTTATGGTCTCGTCTCATTATTTAGGAATAACCCGACTTTTTTGTATGTTGTAGCAAAATAGTGTCTTTGAACAGGCTGGTCATTTATTTATTGTGCAAGCCTACTTTACTAATATATAATCCTCTTTCGACCTTAGTAATTTGGCGAATATCTCTAAGGCTACTTCGGCGTAGTAGGGAGTGTGGAAGAAAGTTAGAGGCGGCCATACCAAAACATGACACAAATCCATTAAGTCACTAATAACTGGGCTGAGTCATGTTGGTAGATGTAGACTACCCGGCAGTGGTTCGTTAGACGATAGTAACTGGTGGTTAGGGACCTTGAATGTCATGGCTCAAAACAGTTCGCAGTTGTGCAGGTGTATCCACTCTTTGTTTTCTCCCAAATCATAACCTTCTGAATTCCTTGTCACCCCTATATTTCTCTTTCTAAATTTATTTCACTGGGATGTACTTCTTGAATAATAATATCTTCGAACCCTAATCTTCTCCATTACCGCTAATACCTCTACAACAACTACCACTATGAGATTTGAACTAATAGTTGTGTCTCTGTGCTAATGTGGTATGGCAACCTGAACTTGTGTACTTACACACGAAGTTCTACGTTGTAAATGACTGACAGAAGGCCACTTTGGTGTCTTTTAAGGGTCGCCTATAAATTATAGTTTGACCAAATAATTAATATTGATTCAGTGAAATTTTGCCCCTGCTCACGTATTTCATTCCTTTACCTACCGGCCTTTATTTCATTAGTGCTTCATAAACTAAAGACTAAAGCTATCTAAGTGCTCACACTTTCTAGATGTGTACTCAATGAACTGAGTACTCATGTGATGTAGTCACTAAGTTTAGTGTACAACAATTAAGTCTTGTATTCAATCTCCTCTCGGTTTGGAAAGCGAAAAACCGTAGTTTTGAGACTCGAGGGTGAGATATATAACAATGCTGAATGCAGACGCACTCATTGATATACTTCCATCGCCGCCACTGCAACATCTTCAGCCTTGTCATTTAGGGTCTCTAGGCATAGATAATGTGCAAACTTCAAGCAAGAACACTGAATCTCTAAGCTAAGGCTAGTCCAACAGTTGGGGAATTTGTGGGTTGACGAAAAGTTTTTCAGTCAGTTACAACGTACAACTTGGTACATACGTACATAAGTTCGTGTTACCATACCACATTAGCACAGAGACGTAATTGTCAGTTCGAATCCCAAAATGGTAGAGATAGCAGACGTATTAGTGACTACAAGTTCATCTTCCACCCTGAACTGTTTTTCAACATGAGATCACTCCAACTACCACTCTACATTTGTTAGGTGATTGATGCTCGTGTGTCTCATGTACATCGAACACCTCACTCGACGAATGCGTCCAGCCTCATCAGCTGACTCATCATATTTGCCTAGAACCGACCCACCAACTTGAGCTTTGTGCACCTAGAGGTCCACTGTTAGTGATCCGAAGAAATTTCTAATAGGATATTACCAACCCTTACACGCCTTCCACTTTTATGGGCGAGGTTGTCGAAAGCAAACTATACGGTGAAATCAATCAAACTTCGAAAAGCGGCTCTTCGAATATAGCACACAATCGAAACACAATTACAGATTGCGTATAGTCTTCGAAATGTATCTAAGAGCTCAGTAAGACCTATCAATATTTGCGTTTCGTCAGTGTTCTTTAAACGAATAAAATATTTTTGTAAAATTAGTAGACCTATGTATAAAACACAAAATTTGTCATGCGCCTGCACAGTAAAGTGTGCGAAATTTTACCGCGCTGTGTATCAAAAGTTGCCACAATCAACATAATACTTGTTGGTTAATTAGTTTATAATTACTTGTTTGTGTTTGATATGCATATTTCTATTCTCTTTCAGATGGTTTGCTTATGATCATATCTGTTAAGGATTGTTTTTATTTGGTGACGAATTTTAGAGCAACGCTTCATCATAAAAGTAACCTTTGCCGAGAGAAATGATGGCGTTACGGCGCCTAACATCTGTTATGTTGTGTCTAAGACCACCGACTGTATGTTCAAGTGGAACTAGATTATTGTCTACGAATTATAGACTATCAGGACTGTCTGCATCCTCTAATTTGTACCTGATAGGGTCAAAGTCGCACACCTTATACAACTCCGCTTTCACACCTAAAATCTACGTCCCATGCCGATACAGCACCATATTCAGCGATTATCCTGGTGATATGTTATGGGAAGGAGTAACGGGACCAAAAGGAGGCTCAAAAAAACGTGCGAGAGGAAAACGCAGAGTCACAAGACAAAAAATAGATCTCCATAAGGGACAGAAAGTGGGAGTTGGAAAAGCCTGCATGCAGTGGCCTGGTCTTAATACTTCTTTATCCTCATCTATCAAAAAAGTAAATACGTAATTACTGAGTATCATTTTATAAATATTTGACTTTACGTGTAACCTAATCGCAAAAATTCGTTATCTTGATTGGCTCCTGGTTACTTGTTAGCAAATACTATTGTTGAGTTAATCTGGTTGTGTTTACACTTTGCTCGTCAACCAGGCACAAGCTGTTAATCATTTTTCGAAACCAAATACTGTTTCATTAAAACGATCAATACCAACTCTGGTTTAATACCTTTAACAGGTTATTGCTGCTTGTAATCTAACTTTTATGTTCTTAAATACCCATCAAGTTTCAAAATATCGCATTTTAAAGTGCGGTAGCTTCTTGCTGAATAGTTGTCTACTAAACAACACAAAATTCGAATCATGGTGTAAATTCAAATCCAGTTAGTCATGATCGATGCAGCGTCTAAATCAAATATGTGTCAACCGAAGTTTCTAAAATTCAAATGATTTGAACTACAAATAACATGCTAGTTATTAACTTTCATCTTCATCTCGCTTCACAATGTTGAAAGAAGGGTAAGGGTAGCTAAACCAAGATGTAGCATCAGTTCATGTTGGTTTTAGCCATGCTAGTAGATCCAGACTATCTGGGGAATCGTCGAGTGACAAGGGCAATAAGTGACAGTTCAGAATACTTCACAGTGATACAGGTACATTCATTCTTGGATTCCGATATTCTTCCAATATACACATTTCCACTCTGTCATTTTGAACTGGATTTCCAATGCTCAGCCTTTTTAGTTATCACTGCCATTACATTATTCCGATCTGTTCATTTTGTTATTTTCATTTCATTGTGCTAATGTGGTATGGGAACTTTGGCCGATGCACATTTGTACCAGGCTGTATGTTGACAATGTTGTTTGCAAATATCATGTCCTCTTTGTGTAACTGCTACATCAACATAGTGATTGCACTTCCCTGTCGTATATAATTTCGTAGTTTTGAGATCTACTAGTAGATATAGTGAATTTTACATATGTAATAAATTATTCAGATAAACCTAAATAGTTCACAGCATGGAACATGCAGTGATTTATCTTAGCTAAAACCAACGCAATTGCTATGAATGATAAAATACAGTGTCCAATTGACTACGAAACAGAAATGTCTTGAAATTGTAGTCAACAGAGTTCCTGTTTATCTTCAATTCAATACTACATTGCTTTCTCGAAAGACGTTAAACAATCGTGATTTCCCAACGTTTAATAATATTTCTTTCTTTGCCATGAGTGCTTCTCTTGATTGACAATATTTAGTCGATAAAATCCAACATAAACTTTCCATCTATGATACTTGAAAAATCATCATAATTTTGGTTTGCTTGAAATCGTATGTTGACGGAAGTATTCTAAATAAAATTGATCAATCAAATATAATAAAGATGATTGGCGAATAAGATGTCTCAGATCTAAAGAATACATCAGGGCCATTCATACTAGTCTTAGGCAGCATACAAGAAACTCTTCTTCTACTGATTTCATCTGTCTTTTAAGGATTCCAACTGAAAGTCTCTATATCTTTACATCGTTTTTAGAAGAGACACATCATTGTAGATAAGTGCTTTGTTTTGCTTGAATATGTGTGACACATCATAAGTGTTTTAAGCTCATACTTTTACCCCTCATTTACATACTTTACTCACTAACTCGTGCTTAGCTCATTCGGTAATTCAATCATACATGGACACTGTCAAAAACAGCTTTGATCGAATATTTATAATGAATTTTTTTCGATTTTAATAGTCATGCTTTATAGTTGTAAAATAAAACAAACTTTTGTGTATTTTATTCATCTTTTGAATAATCCACTAGCAAACCAGAGATAGGTGTGAATGTACTCACTTTACTCTTGTTAACAATATTAATTTAAACGAAGTAAATAGTACATTTAAGTAAAATAAATTAATAGAAATTGATGGATACCTATTCTTACTCATGAGAAGTTTATTTAATGGAAATTACATTTTCCCCCTAATCATTCGTACCGTCCTGATTTAATTGTGATTTCTTAGTTAATTGTTTAATTTTGTTCAGGACAAACTAGAACCCACTTTTTTCCCATTGTGTGTGTGTGTGTAAAAATTGGAAATCAACTATAATAGAATCTTTGTTTACTTCATCTCCAAGTCATATGTATTGTAATTTATATGATTTTTTGGATTATATTTATTTTAACTAACGAGGTAACGTTTTAAAAATACCAATGTGCTTAAAAAATTATCGACTACCTGGTTGGGGTCCGCGAGATGATAATAATCGATGGTTAGAGACCTTGAATGACATGGCTCAAAATCGTTCGCAATGGCGCCGGTGCATTTATTCTCTGTGTTCTCTCAAATCCTAATCTTCCGGGTTCTTCAACACCTCTAGTCTTGCCTTTCTAAACTTTTCTCATTTAGTCGTACTTCTTGAATAATATCTTCTAACCGTAACCTCTCCGATTACTTCTAATTCCCTTACTACCTCTACTACTATTGGATTTGAAATGACAATTATATCTCTGTGCTGATGTGGTATGGCAACATGAACTGATGTACTTACGTACCAAGTTCTACGTTGCATCTGACTGACTGACTGAAAATTGACTAATCTTAGGAGGAATTTCTGCAGTTTCAGTGGTATGTTGTAACCAATAAATTTCAGCCTTACTGACAGTTGAATAGATATAATTAATTGAATCACTTGATGGTCATCGGCTAGTAGCAATTGTCTCGCTATTTCTAATTCACCGTACTCACTGCACTGTCTATCGTCCTAGTTCGACTGCTCTTTCGCTCGTGAACACACAATGTTTTGAAGTTGCCGAACTAGGTTAGCATCTATTTTTATTAATTGTTTGAATCTTCCCCGTTGTTGTTGTTGTTGAGGGCTGCGATTAATCAGTCTCTTTTTTTGACATGTGTGCAACTTGTGCGGATTGCCTTGATGTTTTTTTGTAAAATTACAAAACGATAGTTTCTTGTTTAGCCTACATTGTATGATTTAGGACATAGTCAAGGATGATTATAGTAGGACACTTATACTTAACAGACGAACCAGTCAGGTATATGCTAGTGTTTTTTATTTTCGTGAAGATAATCCATTAGTTTGACTACAGATCATTCTTGCATCTTAGCTAATGTCAGCTGGTAAGTAGAACCTTAGAGTTAACTCCTAAACTTGATTTCTGACCCCGGGATTTACTCAACTTCAAACCATAACTCGATCGCTTGTCTTTTACCTTGATCTTTCTTCGTTGACCATAATAAATCATTATTTGAATGTTTTGGTAATCATATCAAAACTTTTCGTTTGAAACGGGACGCTTTTTTTATTGATTTTAGTCATTCTAGGTCGTTAGTATGGTTACTTTTATCTTCTTTTACACAGGGTGACTATAATGAAAAGTATTTTGAAAGGCTAGAAGCGCTTCGTAACAAATCTGCTGTGAAAAAGAAACGCATGAAATTAGCCCCTTTACAACGTGGTTGGACAGGGAAACGAATGGGAGGACAATCTGTTGGTCCACCTACACCAAATCATCCGGATTTTGACTGTCGTGTCATCGAGTCGAAAGCAAGTTTATTTTAAAATATAAATAATGATATGTATATATTAATCGAAATCATGAGTCCATCATTGCTAGAGCTCTAGCAAAACCTTAGATTGAACGAAGTTAGAAAATTGACACCGTTGGGTGCCGGTCCAGTGATTTTGAGGTTAAGCGTTTGCTCGGGAGACAGTTCCTAGGTCCGATTGTGACCGATTTGGTCGCAGTTGCTGTTACAAGTGTAAGGGTAGATGTCACTTCCCGGCTGCCCACAACCTTAAAGGTTGTTTCTTACGGAACCAGAAAGCCAATTTAGATTAGTGTTGGTTTTAGCGAACTGGTAGCATGACTGCAGAGCCCAACGGACAACTGCTTGAAGCCGGTCACTTACGGCCCTTTTATGGGAAGCCTTTAGAGTGTTAGTTTCGTTCTTCAAAATGCCTTACCGACAGAGACAGAAATCCGTAGAGTAACGTGAGGTGTGACATTTTTAGGGTCGACATTTTTTTAACCCCTTTCTTCCTTGTGAGAAGGCAGCATCGTTGTAGATGCTGGTTGTCCCAGGGAAACAACTTACATGCTGTCACACCCCTCTGCAGTCAGCATTACGACTTCGCCGTCAGACCTTGAGTTGCTGTTTTTAGTCTCACCGTTCTCCAATCGACCTGCCCTGGTATGGTATAACCGACAGGAACGTATGTTTCAGCCAATATAGCCCGGTTGGGTCATGACGATAGGCAAGCCCCACCACCACCACATCAAGGTAGCAGGCACGGTCAACACTCGATAAGGTAAATAAAAGCCCACAATCAGTGCAATACTCAAATACCATAGAATAAATATTGAATAAATACAGCAATAAAAATGTCTGCATAATAATTGCCCATCAAAATGTCTCCATTTTCACCCACTTGTTATCGACCTATGTCTAACACACTAGGCTTATGAGAATTTATTTTCAAGCTGTAATTTCAGTCGGGATTTTATTTATTTAATTACTTTTAAAATGTTAACTGATTAGTTTTTTGCCGCGATAAAATATACGAAAATTATTAAGTTATTCGTTTTTTTGTTTATACTACTGGATAGGATTTTGTTCAAGATGTAATCGCTAAACAGTATTATCTATAATTGTGTTGTCACGCTTAGCAACAACTAAGTCCTGTACGATCAATGAGTCTAATTAAAAAATTCCAGGTTAAATAAAAAGATACAGTAGTTCAGCTTACCTTTAGTTTTATTCATATATGAACTAATGAAAGATAATGACATTGTTTGATTTACTCTTTAAGGGTATAAGATTTTTCAGTATGTTATCTAATTTTCCATATATATATACAATCTAGCTACAGATGTTTGAATAGATTTAATTTTAATTGTCTTACTTTACTTACTTACTTGCGCCTGTTACTCCCAATTGAGCATAGGCCGCCGACCAGTTTTCTTCAACCAACTCTGTCCTGGGCTTTCCTCTCCAGTTTTATCCAATGTTTGTTCATTCCTCTCATATCTTTCTCTGTTTCTCGGAGTAATGTGTTCCTTGGCCTTCCTCTTTTCCTTTTGCCTTGAGGGTTCCATGTGAGGGCTTGTCTCGTGACGCAGTTAGGTGCTTTTCGTAGTGTGTACTATCCACTTCCACCGCTTCTTCCTGATTTCCTCCTCCACTGGAATCTGGTTTGTTCTCTCCCAGAGTACGTTGTTGCTGATGGTGTTTGACCAACGAATCCGAAGTATTTTGCGTAGACAACTGTTAATAAACACTTGTATCTTATGGATGATGGCTTGGTAGTTCTCCAAGTTTCCGCTCCATACAGTAGAATTCTCTTGACATTTGTGTTGAAAACCCTGATTTTGGTTTTGGTTGAAAGTTTTTTGGAGTTCCAGATATTTTTCAACTGTAGAAATGTAGCTCTTGCTTTGCCGATCCGCGCCCTCACATCTCCATCGGATCCACCTTTCTCGTCGATGATGCTGCCCAGATGTGTAAAGGTGTTAACGTCCTCCAAGGCATCTGCATCAAGAGTGATTTGGTTGGCGCAATTTGTGTTGTATCGCAGTATCTTGCTTTTCTCTTTATGTATGTCACGACCCACTGCTTCTGGGGCTGCTGCTACACTGGTCGTTTTCTCTTGTATTTGTTGTTGCGTGTGCGATAGAGGAGCCAGATCATCACCGTAATGACAAATGTCAATAACCTTTAGAATAACTCTCAGGAAGTAAAAACAGTTTTCGAACAATCAAGCTGCATGTGATGTAAATCAATATTTTATTACATAAAAACCGATGTTTAATATTAGGATAGGGATTAAAGGTTTACACTAAGATTTTAAGTTATTAGTGTTAATGAAGAATAATAGTGAATGAATAATTGTACAGTTAACTTTTTGACTCTAAAGTTTTATTGACTATTCTTCAGTTTCCTCTCTCTAT